TTGTCTGGAGCTGTGCTGGCGAGCAGTAGGAGCTTAATAAATGCTTCTTGACTTGGAGGAGAGGCAAAATGAGCAAGTTAGGGGGCATTACTGAGGACTCTCATTGACTGGGAGAATATTTGGTTTATTGTGGTTATAAAAGGCTCAGCCTAAACTTCAGGGTTCCCTGCCTTAGCTTTTGGTAAAGTGGGAAGAGGGTTGGATTTGGAGTCAAAAGACCTGACTTCAAATCCCAATTCAGTCACTTCTGCCTACACACCCTTGGGCAAGTCACCCAAGCTTTCTGGGCCTCCTTTCCAAGGCATCAAGATAAAGGCTCAGTGGGTAGTCCATCTCTGGCTTCTAACTTTAGAAAAGCTCCATGGGGTGCCTTGGACAAGTCACTTAACTTTTCAGCTCTGCCTCAGCTTCCCCCACCAGTAAAATGGAGCTAATAATGGTGCCTACCTGCCAAGGTTGTTGAGAATCGAATGAAGTATTTATTTATAAAGCACCTAGCGCAGTGCTTAATACTGTGTAAGCTAGTAATATAGTAAGCTAATAAGTATTTGAGGCTGGATTTGAACTCAAGGCTCTCTGACTCTGGGCTCTCATCTCCTAGGGCCCCCCTACTTCTAGCCCAATGAGTCTGTGGTTCTTTATGGAGCTTAGGGGGTTTTAACCTGAGGCTCTTCTTTTTTTTTTTTTTTTTATAATAACCTGGAGTTGGTTTAAAAAAATTGTTCACTGTATTTCAGTATAATTGGTTTCCTTGGTAATAGTATGTATTTTACTTTATGCATTCAAAACATTCTCTGCAGGGGTCCATAGGCTTTGCCAGATACAAGTAAAAGGGATATAAACTGTGGTCCCTGCGTTCCGATAAACCATGCTGGCAGCTCTCCTTAGTCCTGGGCTGGCAAGGTCCAGTTCAATAAAACTAAACCTACGGGTCAGCCTCAGTTGACTATGCAGGCTGTATTCTGCATAGCTGAGGGGTGGTGGGGTGGGGCAGAGAGGGAGGGGAGGGGGGAAGAAGGTATTTTCTCACTTCTTGGGTATCAAGCCTTGGCCCAGATTTTAGGGAAACTTGCCTTGAATTTTTTTTTCCTCCCCTAAATATATACATTAGGTATTTTCTTTTTCTTTTCCCTTTTTCTCCTCCTTCCCTTCTTCCCCCAGACCTGGTGATTTCCTCTATGCAGGAAATGCTCAATAAGACTCCCTCTTTCACTGCTCTGAAGAGTTGGCTGGGGCACAGAGGGGTAAAGGGCTGTGACTTAGGTCACACAGCCTAGTCGGGAGACTCCCTCTGTTGGCTACTACCTGTGTGACCTTGGGAAAGTCATCCTACCTCCTGGGGGTCTCATTTCTCTCACTGTAAAATGAGAGGTTTTGTTCTAACTGGCTTCTGAAGTCCAGCTCAAGATGGAGGATTCTCTGCCTTTTATTAGAAAGGTTCGGGGCATCTAGGTGGCGCAGTAGATAGAGCACCGGCCCTGGAGTCAGGAGGATCTGAGTTCAAATTTAACCTCAGACACATAACACTTACTAGCTGTGTGACCCTGGGCAAGTCACTTAACC